CAAAACATGTGCGAAGGAATGTGCACGACTCTACTTCCCCCTTGTGATGAAGTATATGCTATGCCTACATGAACCACTACAATGGAAAAGCTCGAGGTTAGCTGACTTGTACAAGGGTCGAGGTGCGCCCAACAAGTGTGTTTCCAGCAGATCTGTGGCCATCGGTCCGCAGGTAGGCAAGCGTGCTCATGCCCTTGTTGCTGGACGTCTTCAGCCTTTTCTAGATGATTTTGCCCCTGAGTCACAGTGTGGAGGTATCAGAGGACGTGGCACGGACTTTGCCGTGCACATGGTTCGATTGATGCAGGAGGACTCGCGTATCCGATCGGAGTCGATGTCGACGCTTTTTGTGGACCTGGAGGCCGCTTTTCATCATGCTATTCGTGAAATTCTCATTCGATTCGAGGGGGGGGATACGATATCTGATGAGCGTATTGCTCAGCTGCTGCATGCCTCTGGTCTCCCGCCATCTTCCATGGATCTCCTGGCCGCCGAACTTGCACGGCCGCCATTATTTGAGGAGCTGGAGGTTCCTGCCCATTTGCAGCGTGTTATATCTGAGACGCTCACGGGTACCTGGGCTACTACCCAAGGGTCAGGCTCTGTCGCGATCATGACCACGGGCACCAGGCCAGGCAATACCCTCGCTGCCCAACTCTTCCTCTTCATCGTGTCCAGGAGTATTCGTCGCACCCAGGAGCTGATCCAGAGTGAAGGGCTACACAAGGAATTTAACGTGCCGTCTACCAGGACTCTTGACCCCCTCGCTCAATGCGATGCCCAGGTTACAGCCAACGATGTAGAGTACAGCGACGACAGCCTGTTCAATGCGTGGGGGCCTGCATGTACTATTATTGCTCGCACAAGGGCCCTTATGGCTATTGTTGCTGACTCCTTCACCCCACTGGGCCTCAAGCTGAACGCGGGACCCACTAAGAGCGCCCTCATGGTCACCTTCAGAGGCCCTGGGTCTGTAACGGCCCGAAAGCAGTTCTGGATTGAGGAGGAAGGTAAGGTTTCTATCCCGCCTACCGGAACGTTTCCCAAGGGGCTTACTCTGGAAGCTGTACATGCGTACAAGCATCTGGGAGGGATGATTTCGGACAAGCAGGACCTGGCCCCGGAGCTGGCCTACCGCGTGTCGTCTACGACGTCGTCGCTCCAGGCCCTACGGCAGGTGGTATTTCGCAACCAGCAGCTGTCTCGTCAGCACAAGCTACAGCTTGCAGATGTGCTGATCATGTCTGGCCGGCTGTACAATGCTGCAACATGGCCACAGCCGACGACGGCACAGTTCAATAGGTACCGAGCTGGTATCGTGCGGATTTATCGGTCTGCTATTGGGAGGCCAGCTTATGATCAGGAGGCTGTTCCCGATACGAGCGTGCTTGCTACTGTAATGAGATGTGATGTGGATATTCTGCTAAGATGGCATCGTCTCCGTTATCTCAGTCGACTATATAAGTATGCTCCTAGGGCTCTCTTTGGGCTTATAAGGGCCACTGCGGAACCCAAGCACTCCTGGTTCAACCTTGTCTTGGATGATTTGAGGTGGCTTCGCACTCGTGTTTCAAGGCTTCGTGAATTTCCTAGTCCATTCTCGGAGTTCGGAGCTTGGGAGAAGGAGATTCTTGGGCGTGGTCAGCACTGGGCCAACTTGGTTCGATCTGGGGTGGAGGCACACATTCGTTGGGCTGGTCGTATTGAAGACGCTAGAGCTCGCATGCAGATATTTTTTCAGCATGCTGCGCGTATTGGTGCGCCACCAGATTTATCTCTGACGCCGGCACCTGTGCCCGTTGTGCATCGCTGCCCTTTCTGTGAGTTCGAGTCGGCCAAGTGTGCAGCGGTGAAGATGCACATTGCTCGGCTTCATTACCAGCAGCGCTCGGTCGCTGCCAGATACGTTCACAGCCCTACTTGTTCAGTATGTCTTGTTCGGTTCAGCACGGTCGAGCTATGTATTGACCACCTTGCGTATGGGAACCCGAATTGCTACATCACGGCCCTCTCCAATATGGCCCCGGAGGCTCCTGAGGTTATGGAGATGGTTCGGGCCCAGGAGGCCTGTGACAGAAGGGCTGCTCGGAAAAGAGGAGCTATGAGAAGGGGGGCCTGGCTTCCTGCTTATCGTGTTCCTGGGCCTCGTAATGTTCCGCAGCTTTCGTTTTTACCGTATCGGGACGCCTGGGAAGTTATCCGCTCCATGGATTACCAGTTCCAAGATGTTCCTGAGCCCCTCTTTGAGACTCGTGAGGTAGACCCCCGATATGAGGCCCTCCCAGAAGATGAACATCAGTTTGAACCTCTTGCGTATACTGGCCCGTCTGCCGAGCATTGTCCTCGGCCGCTGCAATATGCTGTACTTGCTTTTCTGCACCTGTTCTCAGGAGCTAGACGTGCTGGAGATGTTCAGGATGAGCTTGAGAGAGTTTTGGTTTCGGGTCCAGTGACTATTATTATTATTTCGTGTGATGTGGCCTGTGACGCCGTGAATGGGGATTTGACCAGGGCCGACATTGTTGCAAAATGGGATCAGCTTTTGAGAACAGGTCGTGCTATAGGTTTGATTGGCGGTCCTCCCTGCGAGACATGGTCAGCAGCGAGATGGCAGGAGCTCAGAGTTGCTAACCGGTATCGTCCACCCGCTCCCCTCCGTACTCTCAAACATCGTTGGGGAAGGCCAGATGTTAGTCTCCGTCAACACCAACAGCTTTCCATCGGCTCTCAGCTCCTGCTCAGCCAGCACCAGTTGATGCTGACCTGCCTGCAGGTAGGAGCGTGTGCACTGAAAGAGCACCCTGAGATAGCTCACTGGGAGGAAAGGGCACCCAGCTCGTGGCAGTCTGCCACGTCGTGTGCTCTGAGCGCTGCTCCCCCCTCTCGTACGGTCTCATTCGACCAGTGTGTTTTCGGCCAAGCTAGCAAGGCCCCGACGACGTTTCTGTGTATTCGGTTGAGTTCCCTCGTGGAGGACATTTTGAGACAAGGTAAAGGGGGAAGGTGCCCACACCCGAAGAAGACCCACACCACCCTCCTCGGCATTGACCCGAACACAGGAAAATGGCGTACGGCTCCCAAAAAAAGGTACCCTCAGGACCTATGTGCTGCTATGGCCAGGGCTGTTGCCCAATATGTGGAAGAGGCTTTCAATGTATGTGGCCCAGATGATCTTGATTCAAGTGAACTACCTGACGAGCTGAGTGCCTTTTTTCAGGCTCTGGATTTATACGCTGCAGACACCGCGGAAGGTCAGTCTGAGAT